CTAGTTACTTTTAGTTCTTTAATTTTCAATTTTACTGAATAATTTATTTTAAAGGATTCATCTGGTCAAACTGTTTGATGTTAGCGAGCAGCCAGGAGTTCTTTTACCCGTAATCCTTTGCCGAGGATCAAAAGTGAGCATCTTCTCAACAAGATCGATGGCGAGAGGGTGCACTTGCGGGAACTTCTCAGTAAATGATTGTCGCCGGTAAGGCGGGAGCTGCCTGATGTATCTTTTCGCGTTTTCATTCAGAAATTCCAGCTCAGCCTCGGATGGAGTGCCGATTAGCTGCAAAATGAAGGAAAACCTCAGTAATAACAATGTACATCACATTAATGGGGATCAATCAGTAATGTTTAAGGGGAACCCACGGGAAAATTCCAAAGAGAAGCAACAGAATATAAGCACGGCCCCGAGTATTCTGAATTTGTTAAATAAACTAAGTTTGAGTGGAAGAAGCATGGCTAAAGGTACATGCTTGTTGAAGGAGCTTTCAGTTGGTCAAAAAAATAATAATAATAAAAATTAATAACTACCATGTAAGTCACTGCTGTGCCTTTCCCCTGCCATTCCAGCATAATAAATAAATAAATAAAAATGAAAAAAGGCTTCTGGAGTATGGGAACCTCTACATCAACCAGATCTAATCACAGATCACTGCATAAAAAAAAAAAAGAAAAAAGAAAAAAGGAGCAAGAAAGAAACAGCGAAAGAACTTGGAATGATGGAAAAAAAATACCATCTGCCTATGAAGGTTCATCGCCAAATCTCATGATTTCACATATCCAGAACACTAACTTTCAAATGCTTTAATTGTGATGACCCGGCAGGCACAAGTTTTTTCATAATCCCAAGAGTAAAATGTAAAAGAGGGCGATAATAATAACAACAATAACTACTATTACTAATAATAATAATTACTACCACTAAAACAAGTTCTCCTAGTATCAGTACCAAAATTGACATTGAAATAAGATGAAAAAAAAAAAGTGAATAAAATGATACCTCCATCAGAAGACGAAGCTGGTGCACATGGTCTCTACCGGGAAACAACGGCTTCCGGTCCATTAATTCCATGAAGATGCACCCGACTGACCACACATCAATGGCCGCAGTGTAATCAGATGAATTCAAAAGCAACTCTGGGGCCCGATACCACCTAGTGACAACATACTCTGTCATGAAGTCAGTCTCAGATGTTACTCGGGCCAGCCCAAAATCACATATCTTGAGGTCACAATTTGCATTCAGGAGAAGGTTGCTAGGCTTGAGATCCCTGTGGAGAACATTCGCCGAGTGAATGTATTTCAGCCCGCGGAGAATCTGATACAAGAAATACTGTTGCGACACAAGTAACTTTTTAGTTTTTAGCAGAAGATTCGGAGCAAGAAGGAAACATGACTGTTCCACAGAATGGTGAATATAAAATAAAAAGAGATGTATTTGGTTGCGTAAAGTGAAGCCTTGCAAAAAGCAAGAAGGAAACATGACTGTTCCACAGAATGGTGAATATAAAATAAAAAGAGATGTATTTGGTTGCGTAAAGTGAAGCCTTGCAAAATGCAACATTTTTTTGTAAGACGACAGGCATAAGATAAAGCGTTGATGAAAAGAAAAGGCTCAACATATAGCAACTCGTACAAAGAGAAGCTATACATGTTCGAATGAAACTTCAACATTTTGCTCAAATGAATATGTTGATTACTGAAAATAAAGACAGAAATATTGGGAAAATCCTCAAAATCTGATTGTAGTTTTCTTTTTTCTGGTCAAGATGAATTGAAGCAATCTAAATATAGATTAACCAGATGCAGGCACGTGCTTTGTCTGTAAAGAGAAACCTTAGTAAGTGCTAGACAGTAGGTCAACATTCATATGTCCTAGATAAATCCTGCTTTCATTGAAAAGCTTCAAAAGGCTCAACTTACAATTTTGGTTCCAAATGAACTCAGCTAGATTTCTTGTAAAAAAAGGATTATATAGTTTAACCAAATGATGATAATAATTTAAACTCCATGCTAAGATATTGAAAGAACTTCATGATTATACAAAATAACAATTGAAATAATCGTTCACTTGATATATACGGAATTTCAAAACTAGCATTTAAAAATAGAACCTGGCAATGCTCCTCTGACAGTGCTTGGTTTGAACGGATGATTTGATGGAGATCAGTGTCCATAAGTTCGTACGCAATATAAACATCATTAAATGCTTCCCTCTGGGGCGGTGGAATTATATCTCTGATTGCAACAACCTGTGGCTCATAAGAATTGCATTAGTCAAGAAGTTTACTCTCCCCACAACTATTTACTTTATACACGAAAGTACTAAGGTTGGACTAGAGCATGCCAAGTGATAACAACCTTTCTAAGCTCCACTCAATTCATTATAGGGTAAATAGAGAAATTAAACTAAAACTTTTTGTTCCCAACAACTTTTCGGGTTTCTAGGAATAACACTCAGTTGAACAAATCTTTTGTTCAAGATTTTTGTTGTCCTGTGACCAATAAAATTTCTTAGCTTCTCTATATTCCCAAACAATACATGCCTCCTTAATCCTTACTATGCAGAACAAACAAAATCCTCAAACATTTTGTCAAACAAACACAAAACAAAACCATCAAAAAGTAACTCAATTTTCAAACAAACGAATTTCTTCAGTGGAACAACATACTCTGCAAGAACAATGACATTACATGAAACAATCAAACTTGTTTAATAAAATAAATCCAGTCTTCCTTTAACACAATAGGCAAATTTATGCTTAACTACAGATAGACACAGAGAGGATACAGACGTTCTCATGATCCATATGCCGAAGAAGCTTGATCTCACGCAGAGTCCTCTTAGCGTCAATTTTATTGTCAAAAGCATTCGCTATCTTCTTCAACGCCACATGCTCGTTCGTCTCCGAGTTCAAAGCAGAGCTATTTCCAAAAACAAAACAAAAATAAATCATCGCAGCTAAAATTAGTCATCGAAAAAGCCCTAACCGCCGGTGAATAGAAGAGGAAAGGTACCAAACGATGCCGTATGCGCCTTTCCCAATCGGCATGATTGGGGGTTTGTATTTAGAGGTGACCTCGAATATGTTGCCGAATATATTGTATTGGATAAATCGGCCGCCGTGGCTGAGCGTCGCCGGTATGTGATCCATCGGAGGCTGCTGCTGATGCTGATGTTGCTGCTGCGGCGGAGGCGGCGGCGGCTGAGCTTCCGACATCACGGTGTCCGCCGGCTGAACCCCACCATCCATTTTCTCGCGTCCTGTGTTAGCTAAAAAGAATAATACAAATAAATATGAAAAACAAAGATAATAAAAAGACGAGTTTTTGTCGTTAATTAATGTATATATTTGACTATTCAACTCTCTTTCTCTCTCTCTCTTCACGTGGTGTTATATTTTCTCGTGTCTATGTATTACATGGTCTGCTTACGTTTATATATTATTGGTAAGAGCACGAAAAATACTTTTTTCCTATTTCACAAATTCTTTTACGAAAACTAGGTGCGATGCATTAATATTTATAAATTAAAATTGTTTAATAAATAATATATTTAATTTAAAAATAAGATATCAATATGTAATATAATTTACTTATATTAACTTATTGAAATGTTATATCAAATTTAAATTATACAAAATTACATAAAATATGTCTATTTAAAATTAGTACACAAACCGTACATTGTATGTGACTGATAATAAATTACATTACTCATTTCAAAATAAGTGGCATTTTAAAATTTTTATTCAGAAATTCGATTTGACTACAATATAATTCAACAAAATAATTATTTTGAAAAATAATTTTCATATATTTAAAAATCTATGTGATGGATTGAGCGGCTTAAACTACTCAAATAATAATAATAATAATAATAATAATAATAATAATAATAATAATAATAGCTAGTCACACCTAACATATAAAGGATGTTCTTATTCAAAAGGACGCTATGGGCATGCTTGTTTATGAGTTAATTACTCACTTTTATCTCATACTCAAAATTTAACTCAACTTTAATTCTATCCCACTATCTTTAATATTATTCATATTATTAAATATTACAAACTATCATTCTTACACTATCACATTAACTTTAATTTACTATTCATCAACTCACATAATTTTAACTACATATCATGTTCAATAATTTATCTCTTACTTTTATATCAAATCAATTTTAATCATTTTATTTTAAATATTATTTTAATACATTCTTAAACTTACACTAACAACTAACTATACCACATTTTCCAAAATTAACTATAGTTGACCAAAGTAACTTTCCATTTTGAACAAATTATTTCATAAACGATCAAACCCTATAACGTTTTCGGAAAGTATGAAAAATAAAATACAAAAAGGAGACGAGTGTTTAACTTCAAAGTGGTGTTAGGTCATCTTGGACATTAGGGGTAAAGTAACTATAAGTAAAGTTTAATGGATGATGACTGTGAGAAGAAAATTTATTACTTTCTTTTTTCCATTTAGTAGAAACTATCATTAAAGGACTGAATATGAGTAGAGATGCACTCGAGCTTGAGAAAAATGAGATCAATTGACATGAAAAAAAATGAGATCAATTGACAATGGATTTTTTCCACTAGATTTCACCCTATCAGTGATTGCAGTACTATCATCCGTTCTGTTGATCTATCTGTGGAAAACTCAACAACAGCAGTATTCACGTTAACATCTGTCACTTGTCAATAGTCGAGAATGAACCTGTGTTGACTGATGACTGGGGAAAAAGGAAAAGGAGAAAATTTTCACTAGGCCCATCTAAGTTTTAGCTGGGCCTATCAGAGTCTCAACAGGATCCATTCGCATTAGGGCCCATAATTTGGCTCAGCCCATACCATTGTAGCTCAGTAGTAATAGACCCAACGTTCAGAAAATCTATTCAGGTCGAAAAAACCAGCAAAAGATTTCCACGAAAACACTGCACAAATTTATATCATATTTATTCAGCGCCGACTTTATTTTGAATTAAATGACAAACCAATCTTTTCAGCTACTGAAAGGAAATAAGATTCATAATGAAAAACAAAACCAAGCCATCATTATATTTTTTCACAATAATCTGCAGAAGGCAGAAGTACAATATTTATACAAGCTCTAAGAACCTTAAAGCCTACAGTTACCATTAGTCAGTTATTGCACTAAGAGAAAATGCAGGAAACTGAATACAACTTCCTATAGAAAACAAAATATGCACACATCCAACACTTAATTCTAACAGCTACTGATTCAATTTATGTAATGGATTGTATTAAATCTTGTCTGAGCTAGATATTTTTATTGATAAGAAGAAAGCAAAGAATGATACCGTTTCTTTATCTTCAAACACAACCAAAGCCCCAATGCATACATTTTCACACCATCAACTTTACACTTAACAGAAGGGAAAATCTATACATAATCCCCTAATAGAATAAAAATTAAAATAACCCTAAGACAACATTTCTCCTGTTCCTATCAAACCTTATCAAATAAAAAAAAAAAAAAAAAATGTGCACCTTTGTTCCAACAGGAAGGTCGAACACTTGATGCCCGAAAACCGAGTTTCTGTCTCCTTTCATGGTATTTCGGTGCTTTTCACGAGAACTGAATATTCACCAACGAGTAATGGCATAGAATTGAGATACTCAAATGCATCACACTCCATTTAATTGAAAATTCCGTAAAATCAGCTTTTTAAATCTGGCTTGGTGGACAAATGAGGGGATGTAAAGCCAGAAGAGAGTGGGGGGAGGGGCCGCTTCACAAAGGGGTGGTCCAAGAGCTGAACAGCCGTAGGCCGTGAGCTTGGGTCGACTTGCAGACACGTTAGTATGAAATCACGTGCATCGTTCGAAAGTGTGTCCGGAATTTCTGGCCTCTCGCCCTTTCCTATTCTGAATAATGCTGCCAACGGCTGCAGATGAAAATACTTGTTTCAACTCCGTAGTCCATTATCTAGTTGCATTTTCCTTTTTTCATTTTCTTTTCTTTTTATTGGTTTGTGTGTGTGTCTAATATGAATGTGAAAATCTATGTTTGTAAGGACCCAAACTTTTGTATTCAGGTTCCAAATGAAAGCCAACGCCCGTTTGTCCTCGGGTCCGAATATATTATTCAAACCTCACCCAACTTCTGGCATGATTTGACATCTCCAGGAAAAATTACAAATCTATATATTCTAAGGAACTAAAGAATACAACTAACCATAATATAAGATATGGCACGTCGACATATCCGATGTGACTACCCTTAGGCTATATTGGGTAAAACTAGCTGATAAGCTAACTTATAGCTTATAAGTGATTTTCGAGCTTATAGCTTAAAGCTTATGACTTATAGCTGAAAAACTAGCTTATATGATAAAAGTGCTTGGTAAAATTAGTTGATAAGCTAGTTGATAAAAATTTCAACGAGTTTATTTGAAAAGCTACCCAAAGAAACTTATGAGATAAACTCGAGCTTCTTAAAAAAGCTCGTCCTACCAAATGAAGCTTATGTGAATACATGAAGCTTATAAGCTAACCAAATAAGTTATAAGCTAGCTTATTGGGTTACCAAACATGACCTTATTCTACTAAAAAACTTAATCTGACACTCGAAACATTAATAGGATAATACAGATAACATAATTCTCCAGATTTTGTCGCCATGCAAGTAAGTCTCAGGTAGCATTTAGGTTAATATCAGCCTAATGTGAGTGTGGATAACGAATGACCTCACAGGCCTATTTTCCAAATTTAGGAAACTAACGATGCAATCACTGAATGTTGGGATCACAAAATCATTACATAAAAGGTCACGTTAGGCTAGCCCTTGCAAAGAAAACCGACAAAGAACCAACGTAATAAAGAACCTTTAATGTTTCTAAATTTTAATCACTAAAGATGATTTAACTTACATTTTCGAAATTAGAGTACGGAAAACGTCTTGTCAGCATTTCCAACACAGTGCATCCTAAACTCCATATATCTGCTGGAAGCCCATACCCCAAGCTCCTAACAACCTGAAGCCACATTGATTGATAAAATAAAAATGTAGCACCAGAAAGCTTCATACAATATATAACTTTCACTTAATTGGCCACATAAAAATGGAAAATGAATGTTCCACAAGAGAAGGCAACGGCCACAACACATGTTCTGGACACCACATATATAAAAGAAGGCTTGTTTAAGCAGAGTGAGAATAAGTGGTTATTGCTGTACTACAACTCAGAAGCACCAATAATTATTTAAAATAATAAATTTCAACGTGTAGGATTGTCATGGTCCTTCATAATAAGATGCATCCTTATTTTATGGGTGAATCTTTACTATCTCAACACTTGAGTTAAACTTAAAAGAGCTATTCTAGATTCTTCTGGGTGTAAAGTTCAGGGTTCAAACCTCAGGAGCCATCCAGAGTGCAGTCCCCTTACAAGATTTCACATCGTTTAACGTAGTGGCCTGAAAAATGAGTTGATAACAAGACATAACGGGGAAGTAATAAGAAAAAAAATACAAAACATTGCAGCAAACCATTTGAAAGCCCATGAAATGTCAATCTAATAAGAAAAGAAGAAATAATGGAGATAAGAGATCAAACCTTTGCAAGACCAAAATCAGCAAGTTTCACCAAACCATTTGTGTCCACCAATATGTTTGCACATTTGATATCTCTGTACAATAGACGAAGGATAACACACTGTATCATTCTGGGTTGATTAGGAGGACCACAACATCTTAATCAATTTATCATATTCAACTGCAACTCCCTCTCAAGCATACTCTAAAAATGATCCCTTCTTCTCACAGTGTCAAATCAAAAAGGCAGCTTACAAAACGATGGAAGAATTTTCTTTGAAATAAATCAAAAGTGATCAGATGCAAATATAAAGTAAGCAATTTAAACCTAAATGTATGCAGAGAGTTGAAAATTAGCTGAAGAGAGGATTAAGTGCAAGAAAATTATATATCGGTTTATAATACTACATTAAAACAATTATTTAGTAGTAAAACCATCGCAAGAAACACAATAAAAATTTGGCCAAAAAAGTCAAAATTGATGAAAAGAATAAAAGCGTAAATTTTCAAATGCTGGTTCCCTAACCTGTGAACCACATTTCTGTCATGCAGATATTTCAAACCATGTAGAATCTGCCTTGTATAAGTAGAGACTTGTAGATCTCGCAGGTTATATTTCTGGTAAAGGCTTAAAAGAGAGCCTTTGGTAACAAGCTCAAGGAAGATGTAGAGATTTAATTCATCCTACAAAGAAAAAAATATAAGTCTTCAGCACGTCTTCCACCAATAGCAAGAGGAAAAAGGCAACGCACTTTACATGGACACTTAAGAATTCAACATATCCATCATGAAATATTTATTCTTGAAGTCTGGGAAAACTTTTACTCACGAATTTAGCAGTTAAAGCACCAAAAATGTAACAGAAAAGGAAAAAATCTCATCACATGGCTCAAATGTCAAAGAACGGGTAATCAGAGGACATGCGGAGAATATCGTAATAGCAATTTACTACATTTGCTACTTCACAATGTTTATAGACACAAAATAGCTCATACTAGCAATTTACTACATTTGCTACTTCACAATGTTTATAGACACAAATAGCAAAAACTAATCAAAAAGACTAAAGACCAGTACCTTCTTTGTGCCGTAATACTGGACGATGTTCTCATGCTCAAACTGACTCAAAAGAGAAATTTCCTGGAGCAGAAAGATGAAATATGATTAAAGACAAAAGGACCGGGAGCCGGGGAAAAAGAAAGAAATACTTTCACACCAGTAAATTAGCACGCTCCAAAAACAAAGTTATAGTGCTGCTAGACCTGTTCAAGTTGAATGATTCGTTGCTTTCCTTCGTCCTCCTGATCTAGTAAAGATACTTCCTTTACCGCGAAGAAGAATCCATCACTGCATCAAAACAGGCATTAAAGCTTAAAAGATGATATGAAAAAAACCTCTAATTGTGAGTTAATTGTCATCCAGATGAAGTTTAAACTTTCAAGATAGCCTAGGCCTAAGCATAATTATATCAATGTGACACAACAACTTATAATTTTCCTATATAACTTGCAGCATAAGACATTTTTTAATTTTTTATCACAAAAACCAACACACATAGTTCATTCTACATCATTGTGTCAACTGAGCAACCAAGTAAAATGTATCTTTCGCAAATTACTGTAAAGTCAAAATTGTGCATGATCTAGATATTCAAAGTCCATTGTTCAACTAGCAATAACTCACCCTATCCAACCACAAGGCTAACACGCACGTTGACTTCACTTAATCAGCATTCATAGATTAGTTAAGTAAGAACTACTTACTCAGCAATTCCTTCATACACGGATCCAAACGATCCACGACCCAAGAGCTCGCCCTTCTGCCACTCTGAAATAACACGCCTAAACCTTCCATTGGGCGACATGCTCAACATTGGTTCAGTCGTCGTACTTGAAGTATCGTCGTCATTCGAACTCGTCGTGAACGAACACGAGGCTGATGGAACACAATTCTCTTCCTTCAGAACTCCTCTTCTCCTCCTATCCTCCACTTGATCCTCATCCACATTCTTTTCCACGCCTTCCCCATCTTCATCTGAGCTAAATCCTAGTCCAAATCTAGAAACTTGTGTGCCACTATCCGGCGTAAATGCTCTGAAAATATCCCAAGTCGAGCACTCTTTATCAATCACAGGCACCGCCATTGGAGGCGGCGGTGCCAGAGTTGGCGGCCGAACGCCTTTGATACCATTTACACGGGATTCATTCAAGTTAACGCTCGAGTTATGGTTGCTCGAAGCTACATCAGTCACCATCACACTATCCCTAAATCCAGAACCAATAATATTACACGTATTTGTAGCCATATCGACATAACCACCACTTTCCACACAAATTCCACTAGTTAAACCACAGCTATTTCCCTCGGTATTACGGATATTAAAATCAACCACCTCCGTTTTCCTATCCATGGGAGGCTCGATTTCCTGACTGAAAGCCACAGGTGCAGAGGAAGATCTCACCTTCATAGCCTCGTACTCCTCGGGGTCTATGGATAAGTCGTCGATCCCCGAAAACCCTAGGGCTCTGCAGATTATCTCAATCTCGCCGTCGACTCCCTCCATCCGGAAGCTGCCGTCGTATAAATCGAGGGAGCGCGTGCGCTCAGAGTAATCGTAATTGATGTCTTTCCTGGCGTTGCGCCGGTCGAGCTTCGGCTTAGTCTTGGCGGCTGGGCTGCTCGAGCTGGAGCTGGAGCTGGCGCCTGCGGACGATTCGGCGCCGCCCCGGCTGCGGTTCGAGCTATGCCCGAATACTTTCGGTATGCGGCGCATTTTGACGGCGTGAAGCAACATCCATGAATCAGATAGGAGGATTTGTGAGCTTCAGGTACTCAGTGCTCAAATGCTTGACTGCAATCAGTAGATAGAGGTTTTGAGCGATATTTTGACAGGATTTTATCTCACCCGTGGGGTTATGGTGGGGCATGGACTTTTGGAGGCGACTGGACTTTTAGATAGAGAAGCGAAAAAGGGTCTGTTAGAGAGAGAAGAAAACGCGGAGCCAAATGAGGAAGATGACGGCAAAATCTTATAAATTTTTGTTTTATTTTATTTTTTATTTGGTTGTTGCTGTTTGAAAATTAATTTGTTCCACTCTTGCGTAATTGTCAAGAACAAAAACTTTAATAATATTTGACCAGATTTATTTTTCTTTTTTACCCACAATTGGTTCATTCACAAAAATTAGGGGTGTTCACGATCCCGTTTTAACCAAAAAAACCGTCAATTCGAACCGTGAATCGGTTAAATGGTCAGTTAAAAAAGCTTTAAAAAATCCGGTGGTTAATTTTTTAAAAAATCTGGAATAACCGGTCCGGTTAACGGATTACCTGCGGCAAACCACCGGTTTAACCGGACCGGACCGGTAAATATTAAAAAATTATAACAAATATATATATATACACACATTCAGTCATTCACTATGGCCGACAAATACAATACATTCACTATGAATGCTTTGCTCTTATTATTTCAAGTGTATAAACTGATTGAAAAATGAATGCTTTCTTGGGTTCAATTTGCATAATTTAATCTTCATCATTTTTGTATTTTTATGTTTATGGGACGAAATGTGTATTTTTATGCCTATGGGACAATTATATATTTTTTATTTCATTATCGTTGTTTTTCTTAATTTTTAGGCCCAAATAATCTCTTTTGGACCCAAAATTGAAAAATAAAAATTAAGCCAAAATGAAAAAAAAAAATAAAAATTGAAGGTCCAAAACAAGGATTATGGATTTAACCGGTTAACCGCTAAAGCGGACAGTCCAATGCGGTCTAAATTGTGGTCGGTTAAAAAATAAAACCGGTTCGGTTATGGACAAGAAAAAAAATTAACTGTTAGGTCCGGTTTGGTCATGGTTTTAGCTAAAACCGGACCAATCCGGACCGTGAACACCCCTAACAAAAATATACGTGTACATTATGGGTGACCCAAAATTGTTGGGTCACCCCCCACAGCACAACAAAAAAAATAATAAAAAAAGAAAGAAGGTCATGACTATGCGACCCAGGTCACAATGTGACCATGGGTTGCAACCTGTATTTTGTATAAGAATGAGACATTTATCTCATTTTTACTGGACAAGTGTATTTTTTTAGTTTAAAAAAAATACTAATATTTATATTTTTTCATTCTCTACAAATAGAGATCACATTTGATATGTTTTGGAATAAAATTGTAATTTCTAAATAAATTTAAAAAAAATAAATATTTAGGTTTGGTTGGGTTGAGGATAAAAATAAATTGAATTGTAAGATTGAGTTGTGTAGGTGAAAGAGAGAGAAATAATTTTTAATTATTAGGTTGAGTTGGGTTGGGTTGCGGATAAAGATAATCTAAGAAATAGACTCAGTCGAGCACCCACAATGTATTGGGTCTAATTTTACATATGTGGCATATAAATAGACTTAAGTCCTAAATGACATGGACAAACCCAAGTAAAAAAACTCAAAAGATATTTAATGCAAAAATAAAATACTAGGTCTAGCATACATGTCAACCAATAAAAATGCTATAATATATTTCTTTTATTAAAAGAAAAATTAAATTAAAAATAAATAATGAGTGTTTGGGTTGTACTTTGGTCCAAAATAGACCCAAGTGTGGACTTGGCCCTTTTTTTTTATTGTCACATAAGCTAGACCATGTCCACTTTAAATTGCATTGGGAGACATTTTTTTTATAGACTATGTCTATTTCTTATGTGGCATATGATATTTAATTAAGAGACCCAATGCATTGTGGGTGCTCTCAAGAAAAATAAGTACTCTAATGCAAGTCCAAGTAGACCGGGTCCTGCTTATGTGGAAGCAAAAAAAAAAAGACTCGGTCTAGCCTTAAGCCTATTCTAGACCCAAGTAAAGACCTAGTCTCTTTGCATTGGAGTTAAATTTAATACTTTTATATATTTTTGTCCACATCATTCAAGACTTAGGTCTATTAACATGCCACGTAAATACAATTAGACCTAAAGCATTGTAAATGCTTTAAAGGTACCTTAAGAGACGTAAGTGTGAACCAGCCGAGTAGAGCTCGAGTACTTAATACTCCAATCAAGAGGTTGAGCTCGAGCAAATTGTGAATTAGTTGAGCGGAGATTAAACACTTGATACTCGAACTTAAAATTCGAGGTCCAGCTTTTATCGAAACATAATTGTTTCGTGATAATTGAATTCGATATAATTCTCAAGGGAATAAAGTCAAACTTTTTTTGGTTTATCCATCGTGAATCTTGATACGAATTATATGTTCAAGCATCCTAGTTGTTCATTAAGGAACAATTCTAATGTAAGTTTATGAATTGTATGTACTATCCTTTTTTTTTCAAGACGATACTCTATATTAATAATACAAATTTTTACAAACTAAAACAACCAGAAACAGTCGAATCCATCAACTACTAAGTTTTATCTAGAAGGAAGTCTATCACGAGGTACTAGAAAGTCGATGTTACAAATACAAAATACTCCCACAAGTGAAGATTATAAACTCCAAGGAAAATAACAACCCACAAAAAACAAACACAAACATACATAAAAACACACATTAAAATACAATACAATCTTCCTTTTTCTAGCTAAATCAACCCCAATTAAGACCACGCTCTAACCAGCCAACAACTGTCCTCCAAAGAAAGTCTACCATCAGCAACTCAAAAGCAACCGCCAACACATAATGAGCTCAACCAACCCACAAACGACGAAAGAGCATCAGATCTGAACCCAACAAACCTGAAACCTCCAGATATACTAGAACGGCTAGACAGATTTATAGAAGCAACTCAAATCTGACACTCAAAGACATCAACAGACAGTCAGAGAGCAGCATTACATAGACACTGATCTCAGTAGATATCTGGGAAGGATTCCAGCGCTGACCCCTTAAGATGTCTGAGAACGGCCAGGTGGTCTACCGGAGAAGAGGAAGAAGAGGGGCTAAAAGCTCTGATCTCTCTCTCCCTCTCCCTCTCTCTCTTTTCCAAGGCAAAGAGAATCTTAGAAAGCATTATGCATCCCTAAATGAATGTACTATCGTTGAGAGTAAAAAAAGTGGAATTGTATTGAAATAAACTATTGTTAGGTTTTAACAATTTAACTACTACATCTAGATATATTAGAATTAATATCATTTATTTATTTTGTACAAATCGAAGTCAATCGACTTGCGTGAGGTATATGAGAAACATATGCAAACTCTAAGAAGCTCGAATATAAACTTTTATTTTATAATGTTCTCATAATAAGTTTTTTTGTTCAAGCGATAATTATATTAATAACTCAAAACTCAAAGAGTACAATTGATGTGTCAACGGACACAACTGGAACCAAAATAAAATCTAGACCAACCCCCTTTGAAATTACACAAGTAACCTAGGGAATACAAATTCTATCATAGAGACACCAACACCCGCAAAATAAAACCTAAAAAGTATATACAAACTCCATATAGGAAACAAAAGTCAGACACAACCGGACTAACAAAACAAAAACAAAACCAACGTACACCTAATAAACAAATAAAATAAGACCTTCCTACACGTAGCAGGCCAAGCGTACGACTACCCAAACCGGCACACGCGCCACACCCACAACACCGAAACCCAAAAGAGCAGCAAATTGAACCCCATCCAAAAACTGCGATTATTGTTTGACAATCGTACTTCTAAACTATAATCTTCATAATTGTCCATGACACAATACGGCATAAGCATTAAGCAATTTATGTATTTCATACTTGATCAAACCACGGTACAATACATATGTTAATTTAAATAAGTATCACTTTATTCGTCATTCATTATTGTTTACACATTTATTTATTATGATTTTTCACGGTAATAATATAAAATACCTTTATATATATATTTTTTGTATTAATTTTTCTTTTTCAAGCACCGTATAGTACGTGTCTTATGGTTGATTATTCAAACTGAATAAGTGACACACAATTCCGACAATATATAAATAAAAAGCAGTCAATTAGTGAATTTGTCAAAGGGGGGAAAAAAGTTGAGGTGATCCTCACAATTAAATTCAGATTTATTGTGACGACTGAGAAAAAACGTTTTCAGTTTCACTATTCACAAAACCAAACACACGTTTTTATCAACGTAATCACACCGCAAAACACGCGTATTTGGTTTGTACGAAACTACGAATTAAGAATCAGGCAAACAGCACCATGAGGAAATTGTAAATTTGGTCCCGTTAGATTGGGACAGTCGCAATTTTAGTTCCAAGAGGTGCAATTTAAGTCCTTAACTAATTTTTGTTGCGCAAATGGTCCCAAATCTAACTGACCGTTAAGTCAACCGTTTGTCATTATTTTGAAAAAGGAGAAAATTGCAAATATAATCCCATGAGATTAGTTTTGTTGCAAATTTAGTCCCAAATATTGAAAAAATAATTTTATTACTAATTTTTGTTGCAATTTTTATTCCGTGAGTATATAACAATATTTGATAGTAAAAATTTAGTTTTGAGACAAAAAAAATTACTATACAATGTTTTCTATATTTAAAATTAATTTTTATTAAATAATAAATATATTTAAAAAATAATAATTTTTTAATTTTATTAGAAATATAGAATTCTAGAGGTTAATAAAATTTATAAATAAAAATAAAATAAAAGTAAAACCAACTACTATTGGTTTGAAAGCTCGGCCAAACTTGTTGTTGAATCGAGAATCGAACGGTTTGATTCCTTTAAACGGATTGGTTTCCAATGAACCGATTAGAATTAGTTGAATGGACTGGTCAATAATATATATTTTTTAATAAGTTAATAAATATTTATATTTTTTTATATTTTTTTTATTATGTTTTCTGTATTTAAAATATTTTAATTAAATAATAAATATATTTATAAATAATTATTTAATATTATTATAATTATATTGGTTGATAAAAAAATAAAAATATAATTTTAGAGGTTAATAAAAATTTAAAACGTAAAATAAAAATAAAAACAAAAATAAAAATAAAATCAACTACTATTATTTTTAATTTTTAGAATCGGTCAAATGATTGGATTCATTTGAAAGAACTGGTTTTCAATGAACCAGACAGAATTGGTTGATCAGATTGGTCAATTGTATTTATATATATGTGTGTGTGTGTGTGTATATATATATTTGATATATAATTTTAAATTCATATTTATATATTTTTATTTTTGATATATTTGATATATAATTTTAAATTGGTTGATCGGACTGGTCAATTTTATTATTTGATATATTTTTTAAATTCATATTTATATATATTTTTAATATAACACAAATATAAACTTAAATTCATAGTTGATATATGCCAAAAATATTTTTTATTAATTCATATTTTTTAAATTCATATTTGATATATAACAAAAATATTTATATATTTTTTAATATAAAAAAATATAAACTTAAATATATTTGATATATATAAATACAAATAAATTTAAATATATTATTATTAATATATTAAAAATTTTAATTGCAATACAATATTTTCTATATTTCAAATATTTTTATTTAGATAATAAATATATTTAGAAAATCATTATTTAATTTTATTATGATTATAGTGGTTGATAAAAAATAAAAATATAACTCTAGAGGTGAATAAAATTATAAAAAATAAAAATAAAAATGAAAAGTTATTATATATATATTAAATATGAGAAAATTATAAATTTAGTACCACAGTTGCAAATTTAGTCTTGAAATTTAACGGTAACTTAACGGTCAGTTGAATTTTGGACCAATTACGTAAAAAAAATTAGTTAAGGACTGAAATTGCGCCTTTTGGACTAAAATTGCGACCGTCCCAATCTAACAAGACCAAATTTGCAATTTTGTCTTGCGCCTTTCTAGCCTCACTCTGTATATGCCCTAATTATACTCCCCCTGCCTTCATTCACATTTACAGTTTTTTTCATCTATAAATCTCTCTCAAATTTCGCCGCCTGCATTGCTGTGTCCTCATTCCCCGAACTGCAGAATTGTTGATTGCGCCGTCTGTTCGAACGCGTTCGTGTCTCGCTAAGCTGAAATTTAATACAATTTTCCCCCGACTGCACAAATTATTGACTTTAAAAGGTTGAAAATTCGCACCCGTGTTGTGTTTTTGAGTTGGATTCCTTTCAATTGCAGTGAGAAAGGGTTTTGGTTAACTGGGTATTGTGTTTGTTGTGTTTGGGTTTCTGCGTGTTCGTGAATTGGTTTTTATTTGCATAGAGAAGTTGGTTTTTTTAGTGTAACTGTGTGCAGAATTGAGCGTGTGCAAAATTGAGTTAATTGGGTTCTTTAGTTTCAGGCTGTGTTATTCTATTTCTTTCTGTATCCTTAAGAGGGTCGTTTGATTGTTATTTGTGATATTTCGAGGAGAAGAAGAAGATTGCAGTTTATTTGGCTTCTAATTGCAGACTGGCGTTATATGTTGGAAACTTAGGGTTTTTGCGGACAATTTTAGATAGATGGAGTGATGTTGGAGAAACTTTTTAGTTTTTTTCTTGTGACTTGTTAAGGGTTGAGGCAGGGAAACAGAGCATTACTGATAGTTCAATCAGTAAGGGAACAGTACATTCACGAGGCTCGGTAAATTTTGTGTAGAGCAGGAAAAAGTGGGGCAAAATCGAATTTGGCTTTAGATTTGTATTTATATTTATGGTCCAAGACTATTTGGATCATGTCTGGTGCTGATGGAAAGAACTGAACCTGCATTGGCTCCAGAATGGTTGAGATGTTCAGGGAATGCTGCTGGAGGCAGCACCTCAGTCCACCACAAAGGTATCTTAGCTTGCACGATTTTTACTTATTACCTGTGACATTTTTTTTTCAGGGTCTTGATTGTTTGAGACTTTCTTTTCCTTTCTGCTGCTAGATGTCTCTTCTTCTGCACACTCCACACAGAGTAGATATCTTAGGAGCAATAGCAAGAAAGATAGCCCACGTTATTTGGACAGAAACTGGTCATCTAGTTCAAGGCACAGTGCAAGTAGTAATGGCTCTACGAAGCATCCATACAGTAGCTTTTCCAGGAGCCGATGGGACAAAAACCGCGATAGGGAAAAAGAAAAGTCTCTTTCCAGAGACATATGGGATCATGACTCTTCTGATCCCCTGCCAAGTATATTAACCAGTAGAGTTGAAAAAGGTGGCTTGAGCCGTTCTAAGTCATTGGTTTCTAGAAAGCCCGGTGAGCCATTGCCTCGAAGAGCGGACGACTCAAGGGTTAGCGGCAATGGTGTGCTTTCTGCAGGCAGTAATCATAGTACGAATCAGAAGGCAGTCTTTGATAAGGATTTTCCAACTTTAGTGACTGAGGAGAAGCAAAATGTGAGTGGGATTAAGAGAGTCTTATCCCCTGGTTTGAGTTCTGCAGTTCAAAACCTGCCACTGGGTCATTCAGGGTTTCTTAATGGTGAGAAATGGACTTCTGCTTTGGTTGAGGTGCCTGCTGTTCTTGCAAGTAACGGCATGGGCCAATCTTCTCTTACACAGACAGCTGGTCTCAACATGGCTGAGGCATTATCACAACCCACTGCACGAGTTCATGCTAATCCCCTGGTAAATATTTACAAAACCCTCTTTAACACTCGTGCATAATGTACCCTCTTTTACTTGTGCGTATTGCGTGTGTGTGTTTGTGCATTTATTTTTCAGCCTTGAGCATTGGTTTGATTTTTTTCGCTCTCCTCTTTAATGAATGTTGCAGCAACATGATAAGACCCAGAGGCTTGAGGAGTTGGCTATTAAGCAGTCCAGACAGTTAATTCCTATGAAGCCCTCAATGCCTAAACCCTTGGTAAGTGGAGTTTTTTCTAACTTTTATAGATTCATTTTGGAGACATCTTTACTTCAGCTTTATTGGTTTTTCTACCATAGTGCTTTGCATGCTACATCGACCCAATAAATACTAATTTGGAGTGTCTCGTTTTTTTTTATAAGTCGATTTGATGCATTATCTTTTTCTAGTTCTTGACATATGGCAAGTGACATCTGACGAGATATCTTAGGTTTTGAAGAATATAAAAAAGTGTCTAGTACTAGCTCTGTAGTTTACTACGTGTCTAAATCTGTGAAGCACCAATCAAACTGGACTACATGACTGAAAAGTTGGTGTGGCGACTGGTAATGCTGCAAACTCTGAGTTTAAAGTGCCACCTTTATTTCAAGCATGTGTGCAGTACATTGGGTTAGTTGATTGTGATATTTTGTTGCTTTGTAATCAGTGGAATGAAATTAAAGCATATAATTTCCTTTTTCAGGTTCCTAGTTCCATTGATAAATCTAAACACCCAAAGGCTTCTGGTAAAAACAATGAAACAATTCTTTCCAAGCTTGTCCATCCACAACCTCATTCGTCTCAGCTTCCTAATCAGTCTCATGCTGGACAAATCAAACCAGATTCTGCTAGCACATCTCATGCCAGCAAATTTATTGTTCTAAAACCAGGACGTGAGGTTGCTCCTTTGGGAGGAAAGGATGGATTAAGTAATGGTTCAAATGGCAGAGTAATTAATGATAGCCAAATTAATATTGCTCCTCCAAAGTCATCGACTGCTCTAATAAGCAAGTCTGTAGCGTCTGCTCTGGAAAACAATGCTGCTGCCTTGACAATAAGTTCGAGATCCACAGTGGACAAGAAATCGGCCCAATCTCTGGCCCAAAGCAGAAGTGAGTTTTTTAAACTCATGAGGAGAAAAGCTTCTTCATCATCTAGTGGCTCAACCAGTTGCTCGGATTCAAATTCGGGTATTTTACCCTCCACTAAAGAGACATGCATTGAAAAATGTAAAGAAGACAATGGAGACACACGTTCTTCTTGTGCTTTAGAGAATGATTGCGAGAAAAAAGGTTTTCTTGATGATGGAGATTGCAGTTTGTCTGGTAATGGATCGATATATCCTGATGAAGAAGAGGCTGCTTTTCTTCGTTCGCTTGGTTGGGACGAAAATGGTGGAGAAGACGAAGGCTTGACAGAGGAAGAGATTAATGCTTTTTATCGAGAGGTCAGTTGGGTAGAGTTGTTTGATCTAATTTACTTATTTCAATTGGTGTGGCATTGCATCCTTTGTTCAGGTGACATATTATTAGACTTGGAGTTTAAAACCGAATGTTGACTCAAACAAATAAAATTAGCTATGAAAATAAACCACATAACTTCTGTGGCTTCCATGTGTTTTGAGATAACATATACTTAATATGGATATTGTCAGGTGTAATATCATTTTCTTTTTCTTGTGGATTTTGTGTTCATGAAAAAATTCATTTGTACACAAGTTAGTTCATATAAATGTAGGTTTTTAAGTTCAGTTTTCATCCTCTTC